GATTGTGAAAAAGGTTTTAGCAAACAGAATATTATCAAATGTAATGTAATGGAAAATGACACATTGCACATATTAATGATGGTTGGTTTAGAAGGTACTGATTTATTTGGTTATGATTTTAGTGATGCTCTTAGTAAAATTTTTCAAAGTAAAAACAGAAGAATAAAGTAAAAAAATTTTCCTTTTTTTAAAATTTTCTTCCAGAAAATTTTTAGCATTCAGGAGAAACTTCCGTTTTTTTTCAGACCCTATTTCCAGCCCTGAATGAGACATGTTAAAACTTGACAATTAGGTTTTGTTATCAATTGAAAATTTCTAAAATTATAATAGTAAACAAAATATTAAACTCGAGTATGTTAATTATTATTACTGTATGTATATGTGCGGATTTTTTAATGTTACACGTATATATCATTAAAATAACCAAGGATTTAGATAAACTTTAAAATGTAAACTCTCGATAATCAAGCAAGCTGAAGGAATAATCTTTCTGCGATTGTATTTCCAAAGAATAAATCAATAACCTGTCAGAGAATTTTTTCATTTTATATTAGTAAAAAAATTTTTTATAAAGGTTCAAAGTTATCAATTTTATTGATTTTACTATAAACAATGGAAAATTTAGATAAACTTTATAATGTAAAAGCTCAATAACCAGGCGAGCGGTGTGTATAATCTTTCCGCAATTGTATTTACAAACACTAAATCAATAGTCTATCAAGAGTTTTTTCATTTATATTAGTAAAAAAAATTTTTGTAAAGGTTCAAAGTTATCAATTCTATTCAAAATAACGATTAAAAAATCCGCATATATGAAATTTTTTATTTTTTATGAATAATTAATAACAACAATAATTCTATATATATATTTGTAATTGATTAAATGCTTAAGCCATTAAGCATGATATACTTTCCTTTTGACAAATTAGATCGTAATTTAATTGTGTTAGGCAGGAACCCTTGGATTGTATTACCTTGATATTACCAAGTTGATGGTGGATACATCTTGAGATTGATTCGGAATATTTGTGTTTTGTCGTTATTTCATGAAAACTTATGATCAATGCATCATTCTATATGGTAACACATAATAATTGTTGCATTTAAAAAATTTTTTGAAGAATAATAATAAAATAAAGAATGTGTCAGTTGGTGTGACCAGGATAGTAGTTTAAAAGGCAAAAAAAATTCGGTTATTAGAATCTTTTTTCGGACAAAAATGCTTAAAAGGCTGCAGTTTTACGTGTGACAATGCCCCTCTTCCGGCATATTAATATGAATTATCTATTTCTTATTCATTCAATAAAATGAAATTAATTTCCTAGTTTATTAATATAAAGAATTCGAATATGTATTATTATTGTATTCCTAATACTAACGATAATAGATTTGACGCAAGCATGTTTGTTGTTGGGTCACAGGTTTTATAATCGTTGAAAAATGGCCTAATACTAATAAGTTCAGTTTTAGCACTTGGGGTTAAAGGTTCATCGACCAGGAAATGAATTTTTAAGTGGGGGAACTTTTATTTAAAAACCACGTTGATCAAATTGGATATTAAACAAAATACTGGTAATGGTGGATATATCAGCGCTAATAATAATGATGTTAATAATGGTAGTAGTAGTAATCAAAGAAGGAGATAAAGAAATAATTGTATTTGATCAAATTAAAATCTTCTTACTGTAACAATGGCATTAACCGCCACTACATATTAATATTATCAGACAAGTGTGGATTCAATTAATATTTGGACATAAATTCTACATCTGTTGAAAACGTTCAACCAATTCCTCCCAACGATTCTTAAATTTAAAATCTTGAACAAAATATTCGGCATAGTAATTAAAAGAGAGATCCTGTCGATGATGCTAAATATTTGATAAAAGTGAAAAAATAAAATATTCAATATTTAAGATATACTAACCAACATCACCACATCTACATCTAAATCTAAATCATATTATCGACAAAAGACGATAAATACTACTCTACGTGATAGAGTTGGTAATAACTTGTCCATTGAGACAAATGAATTTTGATCCGGTCCATTGCCATTAGTCAAATAATAAATATAGTCAAAATGGATAGAGTCATGACCAACCGTGCCACACGTGGCAATATTTTTTTTGATTTGGTGACGATATGAATCGGGACCTCTTTAATTTATGGAGTTACTATTATTAATTTTTAAAAATCATTTATTTTACCAAAAAGCTCGTCACAATTAATGTCGTGCTGATATGCATGCAAATCATCATATTATTTTATTTTTAATGACGAATAATTTGTTTGATGAGCAAAATCATCATTTTATGAATGAAAAATGAATTGAATAAATCAATCGAGAAAATATTACAGTCTAGTATTTTATTACTGAAATATGAAAAGTTATTTAACTGAAAAACAATTGCATGTTTCATATCGATTGAATGGTTTAGGTTGCTCAACTGATCCAGGTTCGTATAATTACGCCCTGAACTTGCAATCAAAAGACGACATGAATATTTATGTTTATTTATGATCAAATGATTTACACCAATCTAATATGTTACATTTTATACTATATTTATCCAAATTATATATTTTTTATAGATTATTATTAAAATAAATAAATACATAAAAACCTTTCATCTCTCCCGTTTTCCATTTTTCCACTTTTCATTATTTGTTTATTCGATAATAATTATTTTAAAAGTCCAAAATGACTCAAGTTTCAGGTAAATTTTTATGTATTTATATATAAATTTATAAAGATATATTTACAATTTATTATTACCTTAAAGAATCACTGGGAGATAACAACAACAACGATAATAATAACAGTGACAATGATGGTAATAATAGTGATCCAGAAGAATTTGTAAAGTAAGTGTTTCATGATATAAAAAGTTATTACATTTTTTATTATCAAGTTGATCAAAGTTGAAAAAAATTATATTTTTGTATCATTGATTTTTAAGTAAAAGTGGAGGAAAAAAACCTGTTTATTACTTGAAATAATATTAAAATATAATTTTTTAACTGGGGTGGTACATGAATTATTAGTAGATAATCTTATGATTTTTAAATGTTATAAAAATAATTTAATAATAGTTTTTTTTTATCGTGATTATTTTTTTTTAAAAAAATTGATTTTTTAGAGAAACGGATCAAGAATTGATAAATAATGATAGTATATTGCCAAATGGTTTACGAAGAATTAGAGATGATAGATCAATTTCATATAATGATAATAACGATGGCGGTGTTTCTAAAAATCTAAACACAACAAAAATAATGAATCACATAGATCTTGCAAGATTCTCAACTGAATCTTTACACAGTTATAGTTTTGTCGCAAATAATGGTTTATCGTTAGAAAATAGACAAAATATTCTCTATCGATCCATAGATTTTATGAAGAATAAAATAAAAGGATGGAAATTTCCTATGATCCAACAAGCCCCGTTTTCTTCTGTCAGAACTTCCCTTTCTTCTTCCTCTTCTATCGTTCCAACTGATATCATTCTTCCTTGCGAATCAATCAATTCAAGTTCACTTAATTCTCCTAGGAATTTAAAACAAACATTGAATGGACTTCCTTCAATCTATACTCCTATGACATCATCAACTTTACATTCTCCAACCAGGTTTACACCTCAAAATCAAGCTATAATAACAACTGATAATAAAACCAATATATTAAGTGTTAATGATATCACCTGTCTAGTATTTGGTTACTCTAGGACTGAAATATTAAGTATTAAGGCGTTGGAATTGATTGGTAGCCCATTTCGTGAAAAATTGGCTCAAACACTTGCCTCCAGGCTTCAAAATGAAATGGATAATTCAGAAGCTGTGTTAGCATGTGGTAGAGTGGTATTGTATATATTATATTTTTATATATTTTACTCTATATATTATACAACTGTGTGCCAACAAAAATTATATTGCATTTGTTTAATGGTTAGATACCAATTCAAAGAAAAAATGAAGAAACTTCTGCAGCTTCATTATGGTTAAAGGTGAAAAAAGATGAGTGTGGAAATTCGGTGTTCATTTGGATTTTTGAAGAAATTATTGAATCAACGATGACTGTCGAAATTAATGAAAAGGTTTGTATTATTATTATTATTATTATTATTATTATTATTATTATTATTATTATTATTATTATTATTATTATTATTATTATTATGAATTAAATTCATATATGTATATATATATATATATACACACATGTGATAAATAAATCTATATATATATGTTAATAGGGAACAATATTAAAAACTTCTGGTGAAGTAAAATCTTTGTACGGGTATTCGCCAGAAGAACTATTAGGTGTGAATATACTTACTTTAATTCCAAATTTAGAAATAATCAAAAAATTTGATGATAATCATATGGACAAAGACATTGTAGACACTGATACTACTAGTAATAATAATAATATTTCTAACGAAAATAATAATGATTTGTATTCATTTTATTCAATATTGGACATTGAAAAAATAAATAAAACAAAATTTTATGGCAGTAAATCAAAGAATGGTGGAAACTTTCCAATCATAGGAAAGATCACCTTACAATCCACCAAAGAAGAAAACGATAAGAATAATCAAAATAATAATGGTGGTAGTGGTGATAGTAGTGGTGTTGATGGTGGTAAAAGATACGGACTTAAAATCATTTCAATTCCTACAATTGCTGGTGTTATAACTTCCCATGCTACTGGTGTTATTCAATCATGCAATTCTGACTTTGTTAAATATTTGTTTGGTGTTGGCGCACAAGAACTAATTGGAAAAAAAAATATTGATAAATTGTTACCACAATTTCCTCATCTTTTAAAATTTTTGGAATCAGAAAGTGGGCTTGTCGAAGGAATTGTGATTTCCGAAAATGCTTTTCGAAGAGCTGCTGCATCATCATCGGTTGCTACTTCTCCTACAAATCTATTCCTTTACAATACCCATCAAAGAGATTATTCATCTGCTGCCAGTATAACATCAACATCATCAACGTCATTTCCTTTTTCATCTCATAGCCCTTCGGGTATAATTGCTGTACATAGAGATGGTACAGAATTTGATGTTGATATACAAATGCGTGTTTTGGAAGCTCCAGATGAACCATTACACGCATTATGGATTACTTATGATCGTAGTGTAAACACTTTTAAAGATCAAGCTTTCACCATTAATAAAAAATCAAAAATTGAAGCAGCTGATGAAAATTATAATATTGATTATAATAATAATAACAACAACAACAATAATAAAATCATCAGAACAGTAGAAGAAAGAAAGGAAGAGGGAGAAGAAGAAGAAAGTTTTGGTTTGTCTAAATTCATAGCAGCTGGTGGCAAACCATCATTATCAGGAAAATTATCATCAGTTGAAAGTCATCAAATCATCACTCCGCCTTCAATATTACCTAATTCTGGCTCCTTTGATAATATAAGATATTCGGCATTAACTCTGTCAAAATCTATTAATGATTTTCAAATAATTGGTATTTTGGGTAGTGGAGCTTATGGTGAAGTGAAATTGGCATATAATAAAAATGATCCAGAAAAGGTACATTAACAATAACATTATTATTAATATTAATAAATCATCAATTCATTAATTCTTTTTATTTATTTGTTAGAAAAAAGTTGTTCTTAAATATGTTATTAAATCTCGTATACTTGTTGATTGTTGGACATGTGACCAAATATTGGGTACTGTTCCATTAGAAATTCATATACTTCATACATTAAGAGGCATTCCAAATCCCAACATTGTACAAATGGGTAAATATACATAGTAACAATTATTTTTATTCGTTATTTTTTTTTATTAAATAATTTAATCAATTAAAATAAATAAATAAATACAGTTGACTATTTTGAAGACAAAGATCACTATTACATTGAAATGGGATTACATGGTGCCGGGATGGATTTATTTGACTATATAGAACTTAACACTAAAATGCCCGAATCCGAAATAAAATCTATATTTCGTCAAATTGCAAGAGCTATTCAACACTTGCATAATCATAAAATTGTACATCGTGACATTAAAGATGAAAATGTGATACTTGATGAAAATAACAATATTCAATTGATAGATTTTGGATCTAGTGCATATATAAAAGAAGGTAAGAAATACGATACTTTCTGTGGAACTGTTGATTATGCTGCTCCCGAGGTTAGTAATAATGATTAATTTTTTTTCTTGTTTCTTTTTTTTTTCAAAGTTCCATTATAATTAATTATTTTTTTTAATACTTGCAAAAAAAAAATATATATTTAGGTATTAATCGGTAAAAAATATGACGGGCCACCACAAGATATTTGGGCATTAGGAATATTATTATACACGCTTATATATAAAGAAAATCCATTCTATAATATTGACGAAATTATTGCCGGAGATTTAAGAATTCCATATATACTGTCCGAGGGATCAATTGATCTTGTCAAAAAAATGCTTGAACGTGATGTTGATAGACGTCCAAATATGGACGAAGTTTTAAATCATCATTGGTTACTTGAAGATTAACATAATAAATAATCAGCTAAAACATTGAAAATTAATAATAAAAAAAGTTTTTATTTAAAATAGATTTGTTTAATTTTTAATGAAAATAAAAAAGAGGAGTTTATATCTATTGCACATTTACAATAATTAGATTTGTACATTTAATTTGGTGTGCTTTTGTAATTTACAACATATATAATTTAATTATATAGAGATTTTCTTCAACATAGATTGTATTTTTTATTTATTTTAATTGTTTTATTTTTAATTTAATATTTTTTTTAATACAACCACCAATATCTATATATGTTTTATCAAACATATATAGATAAAAATGTATATCTAGATACATAAAATTTTTGCATCATTTCAATTACAAATTTTTTTTTTGTATATAAAACGCTATTTCTTTTAAAAAGCTGCATAACCAAACATTTTCTCTATTTGATACTGTCATTGACCATATATTTTCAATATCTGAAGATGATATATAATTATTTAATAAGGAAATTATTCTTAATGCATTGTTTCTTTACTGATTTATCCACTTCTTTATGAGCAATTTTAATAATGAATTATTAGTTAAATTATAAGTGATGATTAAAAAATGTTATTATTATTATTATTAATATTATAATTTTATTAATTATATACCTGATGATCTTCTTTCATATTTTTTTGATATCAAAAACTGATAAATTGATATAAAAAAGCATGCTAGAACTTGTGCAGCAAGAAATAAATTGATTTTATTTCATTAAAAAATTCTTAAAGAGATCATTAATAGAATAAAAAATAGTTATTTTTTGTAATTCATCTATATCAAAAAATTTAATTATATAAGAATTAAAATAATTAAAATTAGACTATTGTGTTCTTTTAAAGTTGTGTTTTTAATATTCGTTATTTATTCATAATATATTTTTTTTTTGCTTTGTATGGAGATGATTTTTTTGATGATTTTGAAGGAGTTTTTTTTATAGGTGAATGCTATCAAAAAAAAAAAAAATAATAAATTAAAATTAATAAAGCAACATAGATGTATATATCGATGAATGAATCTGCAAGTTGGTGCGTGAATATTTTGAAGTCTACAGAAAAATAAATACCTCATTATATCGCACAGGTGGCCCTTTAGATGCGCTTCGAGCAGTTAGCCGATCACTGCTGAACGGAATATTGGTTAAATGTCCGGCATGTGGTTGTGCAGCAAGTTCACGATTAATTTGCTATAGAATTCATATTTATTTAATTAATTGAATTATGAGAGTTTTTATTTTAGATGATTAAAATAGCTTACTTTTTGGGATTTTTGTTTTTCATATCTTGATGATTCTGAATGAGTCTTTATTCCCATTTTACGATATTCTATTTTTTTCTGTATGTTTTCTTTTATTCTATCTTCCTCTATATTGGGAAAAAATTTTTATTGCAATATTAATATTTTTGTTGAATTATAATTTAGAACATTATGTTAATATATACGTAAAACCTACCAATTAAATCGTCTCTAAATGTAGTATAATCTCTTTTACATAATAATTGAGTATACGGTTTAACCTTATTTGCTAGTTCTTTTTCTTCTTTGGTTTTATAATTTTCATCCTCAAATGTTTTCTAAAAAGGTATGTAAAAATATTTAGTGGTTATTATTATTACTATGTAGTTGATTAATTATTTAGAAATATATATATTATGATGATTATATGTTACATTAATTTTATAATTTATTAAATCATGTTCTAATATTAATCTTTTCCTGTCTGCTCGTTTCTCTAATTTTTTGTCGTATATTTCCAACATTGATACTTTTAACTCTATTAAAAAAGTGAAAACCAATCAATCAATAAATTAATTATATATATTTATATTCGTATATTCACATGTTTAATTACACACCAAAATCTAGCTGTGAATCCTTATCCGTTATTTCCAAATCTTTAATGTATAATTCTGCATCGTTCTCATACTCCATTTCAAACTCTTTTCGGAGTGGCATATATCCACAAATTTCGTGATTGGATGGTAAACTTTGCATTGGCTATTTAATTAATGATTTCATTCAAATACCACACATGTATGATTAATTATTAAAAAAATTTTTTTTAAAAAAAAAACAAAGATATTATGATTTTTCATATTATTATTATTATTATTATTAATTATAATAACCTTTTGACTCCTAAGAGTTTTTGCCGCTGAGCCTGTCAAATAAAATTAATTAATTAGTTGATTTTTTTTTGGGGGGAGATAATCAATGCTATTATTATCGTTGTTGTTGTTTACTTTTAGGAATATCTGTCATCTCATAACGACGTCGTTTTCTTTCTCTCATTGATTCTTCATCAATATTAAATTTCAGATTAGCATTCTATATTATATAATAAATATAAAATATATATGCACATTTGTATAATTATATTAAATTAGTATCAGTGATCAAAAAATTTTGAAAAGTTCAATATTCACTCTGTTATTCACATTACCTCAGTTTTTGGTAGTGGCCATTTATCACTATTGTAATAAACTTCATAATAGTGTTTTTCACATTCTTCTTTTGATTTCGTTCTAACAAACCCTGAAACATCTTCCCAGTTACCCATCCCGTGCGTTTCTAATCCTTCTATCAACAATTCTTCTTCATCTGCTGCCCAATCCTCTGTAAATAATGGAAATGAAAATTGTTCCTAAATCAAAAAAGCATTAAATAGATTTAATAAATATGCATATACATGTATATATATTATTGAATTTTCTTTTTTTTGAATCTAATATATATTACAATATTTTTAACCAATAGTTGATGTAGATAGTAGTAGGTAGTAGTGAAATTATTTGGTGTATGTGTTATTATGTTATTAAACAAGAGATCGCTTACCAGCACTTGATAATCATGATAATTTTTATGTTCACCAACTTCTTCACCGTTGGAAAAGCAAGTAACACACAGAGTAACATCTTTACATTGAAGACAATTTACTCGAACGGGATTAACTAATTTGGCTTGACAAGCTTTGCATTGAAACATTTTTAAAAATAGTTTTTCGCTTTTCTGATTTGTTTATCTTTCCCTCTTTAATTTACAAAAATTAAAAAATTATTAATTTATACTGCAATCAACTAAAACTTATGATAAAAAAATTTATTTGTGATTTTTTTTGTGATTTAATTAAATTTTATCATTATATTTTTATATTTTGTTGTGGTTCCACCAAAACACAAAATTTCATAATAAGATTGCTGGATCAATCACGTGGCAATTTATTATTAATATTAAGCATAGCTAAAAATTCTTTTATGAATGGATCGGCGTTACACGCATTTAATTAAAAGAAGATCAACAATTTATATGTGAAGTGTATTAAAAGTACAGTCCAAGCGCCACTAACTATATAATACCACCTCTAACTGCACAAATATTTATTATTTTTGGGCGGAATTGAATTTTTGACTTTTATTAATAACAAAGAAAGTTACTCTAAATTTTGTTTATTCAATCATAACACCCAAATTTGTTAATGATCTACATCTTTTAATTTTTCGCCAATTAAGGATAAATAGCATTTTAACCTGTTTGGAGCACAGTGGAAGTTTGTTGTTACACGAAATGGTATACAGAATCCATTGTTCCTGAAACTTCACTAATATATAGTTGTTATCTCTCTAAATTGGAGATCAAGTTCAGATCCAATTCAAATCTAGTTTATCACTTTTTATTGCCAGAATGTTTGCCGTGTATTGTAAAGTTACATTGCACAATATAAAAATTTAGTGTAACATTTTAAATTTCCTTGATAGGCCACGTGATTGTCATTATTTTGATTGGTAGACAGACCTCAATAGCCAATGATTAGATTTTTATCTATGCCTGAATACTAATGTCAGGGTGATAATTTTCTGGGATTATTTTATTTGCTAATTACTTAAAGTTTTAGAAAGGAATTTGCCTATTACTATATAAAAAATCTTGGGAAACTTCTTTCCATAATGAAACAGTCAAGTGTAAACTTGAGTTTATTTTAAATATTTATTAAGATCATACAATATGATTTTATTTTCTATTAATATGATGAAAACAACACCATCATTTCTACTAACTAAGTGTAGATTCTTGTATCAACTCCAGAACTGTACTTTGTTCCTTCCTCTCTAAAAGCCTTAAACTGCGAACCATTTGGAGCTTCAAGTGTTTCATGGTGATGCTACCACCAAATATCAAAAAGTCTGGCTTACACCCTTAACCTTTTCCATCAGATTTCCTTCAGGAACTTGATAGTGACAGTTTGTTAGCCCTATTGGAAAAAAATTACAATATGTTTATTGAAATATTTCATCTTAGAAGAAATGCCATATACATGTAAACAATACCAACAGTAGCACTATTCTGTAAGAAATTTTACAAGTTAATAGTTCTTCCCGCATCATCTAGAAAAAAGGGACATAAAATAAATGCAAGGTGTGATGAATATATGTATCTTTGATCATATGATGATTATTGAAACTTGTAGACCAATTTTCACCACTAGCTAGGTACAGTGTGTGAAATTGAGCGTGTTACATTAAAGGTAGCCAATAATCTATTAGCAGAAAATTCGTGTGACAAAATTGAAAAATATTAGATATACATTATTATACTAGAATAATTCCATTTTTTGAGCATAATTCTATTTTTATTGATTAGATAAACTTTATAGAGATACTAAATTGTTGAATGATGAATTTTCCGAAATTGTTGAAAAAAGGAAAACTCATAGAAGAGTGGTGCTCTCTAAAATTCTATTTGTATCCCTATAAAAATATACACGGAAATGTACAATCGTGGAAACACATTTTGGATACAGATGAAAATTTTTATTTCAATTATCAAGTTTAACAATTATTGTTGGAGTAACACTCCTTATATATACCTTTTTCCAGTGCAATGTTGAAAGAATATTTTCACAAACAAATCTAATAAAAACAAATTGAGAAATAGAATGCATGTAGATTATGCATGTTGTCAAAATTAATTTGGCTTTGACTCAATTCCTACAATCTCAATTTTTAATTGCGTCAAAAAAGTCACCTGGGTGATCAACACACTAGCTAGACATATATATATTAATAATGCTATTTGTATAAAGTCAAGTGATACATACGTGTGAATCCAACTAACAAGTATGCTTACCTTCACAAGCCAAGTAAGCCAATTAATTGGTAATCAAAAATACCTAAGAGAAATTTCAAACAA